CCTATTTAGTTGTCGAGCACCTATTATGTGTTAAGGACATTTCTAGATGCTTGGGATACATCAGTGGTTAAAACTAATAAAAAACTCTCTTAGAGATTACATTCTGTGGTGAGAAGCAGTTAGTAAATAAATAAATTACATATTATATTGGAAGATGATAAATGCCAGGAAGCAGAAACAGAGCAGGGTAGAGAATTGGGAGTCTAGGGGATCAGAGATTGGGACATAATTTTAAATGCAAGTCAGGATAAGCATCATGTTGGCTGTGACATTGAACAAAAACTTGAAATAGGGAGCTAGTAAGCCACTTAATTTCTGGGGAATGGGCATTTCAGTCACAGAGTATATCCATTGCAAAGACTATAAGACAGGAGCATGCCTGGACTGTTCAAGGTACAGTCAGGAGGTCTGAGTAGAAGGGATAAGAGAGAGTATAAGGAATGTATTAGAGAAGTAATGGAGAATAGATCTCAGGGCTTTGCAGACCATAGTTAGGCTTTTCTCTGAACCATATAGGGAGGCATTGTGTTGAGAGATTATAACAGAGGAATGACATGCTCTGATTTTTAAGTGAATTACTGTGGCAGTTGTGTTGAGAATATACTTAAGGGGAGCAGAGATGGAAGAATGAGATTATTGTAACTCAAGTGATAGAAAATTACAGTTCGAGCAAGGATGATAGCACAGGAAGTGGCAAGAACTTTTTAGCTTCTGATTATATTTTAAAGGTTGAGCCGATGAGATTTCCTATGGATTAAAGTGGGGTATGAAAGAAAAGTGTCAAGGGTACCTTTAAGGTTTTTTTGGAAGAGCACTAGAGGAATGGAATTTGTTTGGAGTCCATGCAAAGACTACACATAGAGCAGCTTTGATGAGGAAGAACTAGACTTCAGTTTGTCTTTCCAAAATAACAAGTCAGTGTAGAAATTTGGTATTGGGGCCTGGAGTTCAGGAGCATAATTTGGACTGGAGATTTAAATTTGAGAGTTGTAGGCATCAGATGGTATTTAAAATCATTTGACTAATGACGGGTCACCAAGTGAGAGAGAATATAGATAAAGAAAAGAGAAACAAGGACTGAACTCTGGGGCATTTCAAGGTGGGGGTCTAGAAAAGAAGGAATCAATGAGACAAAAAAAGGAGTGACCAGTGAGGTAGTAGAAAATTAAGAGACTTTGGCATCCTTGAAGTGTTCCAAAGAGAAATGAGTTCCAGAATATGGGACACACTGAGTTAAGGCAAAAACAATTGTATTCACTACAAGAATTTTCTAAACTTTCAAATGCCTAAAAGGGGAAATATAGGATGGAATGCAATGTCTCTGGAAATATTGGCTTAACCCTTGTTCAAAGAGCGTCCTTAAGGGACCACTGTGCAATGAAACATACTTTGGGAAATGCTGAATTTGAAGATAAATTCTTTCTTATCTAATTGGGCTACTGACAGATTAAATGTGCTGATAATTCCGAAGGCATTTCGAGTTGTTTAAATGCCCTAGGAACCCAAGGATTATTTTCTCTTATTCTTCAATTTTAGCTCTACAAGGCAGAAGAATCTGTCTTTTGGAGCAAATTAGGAGGGTGAAATCTTTGTTCACTGCCCTTGGATAATGATGGAAATACCAGAATTTTCTAATCCCTGAGTAAACATTGGTCGACTTTCTTATTTATGTATGTATGTATTTATGTATGTATGTATGTATTTATTGAAAAGCATCACTTTTCCTCATGTTTCTTTTTAGCTTTCTAGTTGCAAGAATAAAGTTTTAATCAGTATTTGTTGAACTGAGGAACTGGACTTCCTTTTCACCTCAGAGTAATCTAGTTATTTTATTTTATAATAGCATGGATTTGAACCAAATATATTATAATAATTTTGTCAAAGAAATCTCCCTAATATGTCAAATCTATGTAGAACTGATAGCACCATATAATGAATTTCTACTTTTTTAAATGTTTAGCTATTCTATAATTACCTTTACTTTGATGTTTCTGCAATTGCACATTTTTAAGCCCATTTGCTAGACTAATACACAACATACATTTATCTTCTTTGTATATTTTATTGAGTTAGT